TACAAAGCACATTCAAGCAAAAAAAAGAGACATTTCAAACATCAGATAAAGTTGTCTATGGAGCAACTTGATACAGCCCAATGTGCGGCGCTTACCTCATTCAGAACTATTTCTATTCCGTCGTCGCTCGTATTTAATATGTCATCAGCTCATATTATACCTATACGAGCCTTTTGAAGAAGCAGTTCAGTAGTAATTACACGTATTTGCGTATTGAACTGTGAAACTGACAGCTTGTCACGGCGCGCCATATTGAATTTTCTTCTTGGCGCCAATATATTTTTGAACGGTGTTTCTGCCTTGGTACAATTTCTTAAACGAAAAATAATTTACTTACTACGTACACTTTAATAAAGTTATTTAAAATGGAAAGAATTACGATAAATACTACTTCAGCTAAGTTTTCACTAACTTTTAGAAGGCAGGTTTAGTTAGGCATAAAGAGATGTGGTTCACAGATAATCTCAACAATTTACCACTCAACAGTATATAAAACAAAACAAAAATAAAATATCAATAAAACAAAGCCATTATCATAAATTAATGTTCAAATGTCCACCTATTCATGCGACCTCGAGATATTCTGAAGCGAACTATAGTTATATAACAATTTCATGGTCACCGTTGCGTTTCGTACCTTTGTGTCCGTGGCGCACACATGCGCGCCGCTGCACGTGCCGAACGCACACAGACGCGAGCATCCTTGACAACTACAACTACGCCCGTAGCTCGGCCGCGGCAATAAATAACGCAGTTGCGTGCGCCGGCTACGTACCTACCTATGTCCACTTACATTGCATACGATGATATTACGCTTGTATATTTATCATACCAAACAGCCTTGACGAAAATTAAACTTCCTCAATGTCTATAACAAAGTGTTTTAGACCAATTTGGTGCATTTATTAATCATATTTTCTCAATATTGAACTTTCGACAACTTTTTTATTAATGGTAAATTCTAAAAAATTCAATCTTTGAAAATAATGGGTAAATACACTTTATATTTACACACGTTTACTGTAGTTTATTTCAACTAATAATATATGGGAACGACCTTAACTTGCATGGCCTGTCATTTCCGCGGTGCCAACGCTGTGTCGTCATGTCACGCACATTTTTATACGAATTCTCCGTATTCACGTGTACCGGCCACTTGTGCGTTAATTGTATACGCAGTTTGTCGATAGATGGCACTAGTATTGGGACGGTTATATCGTTAAATGCGACTTGAATAGTGATGTTACAGTCAACGAAAGAACTATTTAATTTTATGCCGTTTAAATTATTTACTTTTAAATCGATTAAGACATTGAGAATTAAGAAGTAGAATATGATTAGTATTCTGTAATATATAATGGATCTATGAATAGGTTCATAGGCAGATTTTAATATTAATTAATGTAATTTGCAAGGTTGCTGGAATACATTTTAATGTATTATTCCAGTTGATTTTAGAGAGTTAAATGTCTCGATCACGTCACTGGTTTCAGAAGTGAATAGAGCGGGCTTAGATAATGGCGGCTAGCGATGCGCGGGGCGCTCTTGGGAGGGACGCCCCAATTTGAAGCGCGGCATGCCCATTACACAATGAATTTATTGCCGCATACGGCTGACACATATTGCGTGCATGTCATGTGCGCGCCGGAATTCTTCAACAATTACCATAGACGTAGCCTAGCCTTTTTTAATACTGGCAACAATGTTTTATAATTAAAGAGGTAAAAGTATAAGATCATTACAGCCAAGATTAGCTAGAAACGTATATATTACATTTATTATTGTATCAAAATTAAACATACTTTTTAGTTGCAATGCATTATGCTATCTTGAATGTTCACTGTTAAATTTTTGGCTGTCATCCAAATTGACCGGTCATTTTGTGTAATTTGGCAACTTTTCT